GTCAATGGAAGCTGGGAGCAGTCACATCAAGCAAACTCAGCAGTGAATTTCCTAACGGCAGAGAAGTTACAAGGTTTTGTAAACACAACAGAAGGGGAGCAAAAAAATTCACCAATGCTCTGATGGCCTAAGCATTTTCCCAGCTCCCTCCACAGCAATGCATCATGAGAACTGTTTAGAGTGTCCCCCTCCCTTGCAAGGAGACTCTCCAGCCAAATAAAGTCAAGAATTTGTTTCTTTTTTATTGAGTGAGTTCAAGATGGGGGGGGGAAGGGGGCAGGGAAGGGAGGGGGAAGAGAGTTTCTCACTTAGCCAGGAGATAGCAGAATGAAAAGATCTCTGTGCTTTATTTTAAGCTACCCTGAAACATTGGTTCCTGCATGAATGCCTCACAAAAGCAGGACTTACTCCCAGGCAGTTAAATAAAGGCTGAAATGAAACTGCTGCCCTTGGGAAGAACTGCTGGATCCCAAATGTAAATCACTTAAGTTTTTATCTTGTATTTAAAATATTTATTTTAACTTAACAAATCACTGCCGCAATGCTATTTATGAGGATGTTATCAGGGCAGAGCAGGGAAAGAGCATGACACTCCTTTATCTGTTGTCTAATTGTTACGCTGTGCAGAGTGGAGATGGAGTGGCTGGATTCTAAGTTGATTAAGCTCCCATCAAAGGGATGTGAGGCTTGGCTTGCATATAGCACTTGATATTTCAGCAAAAGATTTGGAGGGCCAGTGCACTCATATTTGACTCTTTAGTCTGGAACTCCTTGTGCTTTCCATCTGAAGAAATCCATGAAGTACTGGATGGCTCCAGAGATTGCTGACAAGAGAAGGGTTTTTTTTTTTTTGTCTCCATTGAAGTAACCAGTCAACACATGGCCCCGGGGCAATAGTAAATAAATGCTGCTACCATCTGATAAGTGAAATAAGTCTTGCGGAGTCAGTCTGGTTCCTAGTGGGAAAACATCCATATTTCGAAACCAACCATCCCATTAGCAGCTGGCGTAGGCAGGGAACAAGCCACCTTGACTGAATTCCTACCGACCTTTAGAAAGGACTGAGCAGTGATAAGCCTTTGTATAATGATACAGAGAACTCGTGACCCCTGTTTGTATTGAGAATGCTCTGAAAACAGTTGTTTTTTTTCCCTTTGAGGCAGTCAATTTACAAGCTCCCACCAGGAACACGTTAATTTAAAAAGCTAATGTTTCTGTTTCATTGCTCATCCCCATGCCTTTCTTGGGGTAACTGAATAAGAAACCCTGCATCCCCTACTCAGGTGCAGTTTTGATTCTCTTTCCATTTTCTGCATTTGATTAAGTGTCTTCAGAATTAACCCCGCTGCATTTTTAACTGCAGCAGTTAAAGCCCCGCTTGGAACCTGACTGCTCTCACCTGAGCCAGCCCATGGTCGACTTCAGGAATAGCAGGCTGAGCGCCCTGAAAAGCTTCTTTTTAACACAAAGCTCTATTCTGACACTTACCAGTGATGTTTTTCAGCAAGGACTGCACATCACTGGCACCAATCACTGAGGACAGAGGAGTCCTTCAAGAAAAGTCTGCTCTGGGCAGCTTGTATTTCCAAGGTTTTTTTTTTTCTGTCTCCCTTTTCCGTTACATCAGTTCTACATTTCTTAGGGCATCTCTATTTCTGCTTCTCATGCCATTGCTGGTTACATGGCAGACTAAACAGCAGTGAATCCATCAGCTAAACATTCATTGACTGCCCAGCTGGAATTTCACAGAGAAGCTTATGAGAGACGGAGGGCTTGTGTCCTTTAGAGCTGGGCAAAACAAGTAAAATGAGGGGCTGGAATTCTGGTCCTTTTCTAGTTTTGTGAAAAAAACCAAAGGAAAAAAAAAGTCCTATTTCTTTTAGGGGAGTTTTCTCTCCCAACTTCGTATCTGAGGAGTCAACATATATGGGGTGTGCAGAGGAAGGAAGGGAGGCAGAGCTGAAATGGCAGAAGTACCTGCACATTAACTCTTCCACACAGACAAGGCTTAATGAAGAGAGCTCCCATGAAGCTCATTTCCATAGCTCTTGCCATGGGTTTTCCTGCAGCCAGTGCCCTCTACTGCTGAAGAGGAGAAAGCAGGGTTTGCCTCTTAAATGCTGGGGGTGGATTGGGCTGGCAGTGCAGGAGGTAAAGGTTTTGGGGTGTGTGTAGATGAAACGAGGGCCCTAAACTGAAGCGGTGGGTTTTTAAAAACACTGCTTCAATTTAGGGCCCTTTAAACCCCTGTGTCATGCACACACCCAAACTTATCTGCCTTTCCGGTGGTGGGGAGGGGAGGGTGAGCTGCCAGTGGGCAGCGTGGTCCTGGTGCTTCCCTCCACAGCAGCAGCAGTTCCCCCCCAGGTGGTACCCGCCCGCAGGCACCCAGCTTGGGTGGTCCCGGGGGGCACTGCAGCCATGGAGGGAAGCACTGGGCCCTGCACAGCTCAGGCAGGCTCCAGGGAAAAAAAAAGATCACGCTTGCCATGTTTCTTGGGCGGAGCCTGCCTTGCCAGGCTGCCTGCATTGGCTTCCTGCAGAGCTGCAGGGAGCCTGGTGCTTTGCTCTGTGGCTATAGGGGCAGCAAACTAAAACTCCCCAAGTCATTTAAAGCACATTACACTGCCAAATTGGCTACAGTGGATGGAATTACTCTGCAATATGCCACCGATGCGTGCAAACACCAACATCATTAAAGTGGTGCAAAAGCATTTAACCTGCTTTCAAGTGTTGTGCACACATGCCCCTCGTTTCATCTATACATGGCCCTAGCTTTTTATCTACAGAAGAGGCATTACACAGGGGATTTGGGGCTTTCTGGAATTGTCCCTCATTTCAGGTTTTGGAGTTAATCGGCAGATCAAGAATATAGGAATAAAAGAAAGCCAAGGCAAGGTGCCAGGCCAAGGTGGAAGCTCCATTGCTCATTTGAGAACACAGACCTGAACTAGAGGCACATTGTCCCATCTCTGCTCTTTCTGACTCTGCTGGCCATTAAATTCACAGACGTGCTGCCTCCTGGGTTCAAAACACTCAAGTAACCTTGTCCACCTCTAGATACCTTTTTCTTTGAAGTCCCCATATGCTGTGTGGAACACTATGTCCTATTCTCACTGGCAATCTATTAGTTGGCTTCCAGACAGAAAACTGCCAGGCTGCTATGACTAACCAAGTATCCATCCTACGTGTGGCTTGGCTATGGGCACACAAAGTCCACCTTCACTTTGGCTCTTTTTTCATATAATAAGGTCCAGACTCAGTTATGTTTATATCAACCTGGAGTAATTGCATCATGGTCAATGGCATTATTCTGGATTTACATCAGCATAACTGAGATCACAATCTGGCACTTCATGTTTTCAGCCTAGCACTTTTAAAGCATTCTCCAGTAAGAAGTGGGAGACTTTCCAGATGGGAAATTGGTCCAGATACAGATGGCCCCTGGGTCTGGCCATTGAATTAGAGCATGGATTAGAGCACTTATTTTATTTTATTTTTTAGTTGCAGACAGGGGCTAAATGACTTCTCGGGGTGTCAGAATATCCTTACCTGGAATGGTGTTTGGACTTGCTGAGAGCTTTGGTAATAGCAGATGGGGTAGAGCGTCTTCTTTGGACTATGGGTTTCATCTTCTATGGGAAAAAGGTACATCCAGTTAGTATTGTCAGTGCCATCTCTGCATTCAGGTTACCATTGCATCCTTGTATGCCGCATCCTTCTTTTTATATCACTTTTTCTTTTATCTGGCCACTCATGGAACCTAGACTTAGAAAGCCAGATGTGTTTCCAGAAGCGTTTCACTTTCTTTTGCTTGATATTAAAATACTCAACAGCTCTCACATACACCCAAGAGACTCGAAATTTTCCTAACTGGAAATATTGCCAGTTTTCACAGCTAAAAATCAAAGTGAATTGTAGGAGTAATGGATGAAATCAACCAGAGGAAAATTTAGGCTGAAGTTCAGGAAAACCTTCCTAACAGTCATGTCTAGCAGACAGTGGAATAGTCTGCTAAGGAAAGTGATGGAAACCCCATTTAAACCTGGACTGGACAAAACCATGGAGAGTATATAGCACTGGAGGGAGCAATCTTTTATTGGCTGGAGTAATGGATGAGATTACCTAATAGGTTTTCACTAGTGCTAATTTCTATGATTAATAGAGCCTGTTATTAACCACTCTCAAGGTTGTGTAGCATCAGAACGCCCATCATTTCTAACTGGTTGAACCTTAAGATTTCTGCCTGCCCCACAAATGATGCGGCTGTAATGACTATCCTTGTCAGTTATAGTGGGAAGGCTTCCAAGTAAATACATTGGTGTGTAGGTCACAAGTCTTCTTTTATTTTTCAAAATAAATGTTGTGCTGGAGAAAGATGCCAGATTTACGACCCTTGGGAACAAATCATGGAATTAGCTGAGCTACTCCCTGTGAGGAAGAGTTGCAGATCTGGCTAAACAGTTCAGCTTCAGTATTTACAGCATCTGCCTGTGTTTGGTATTCAAATACCCGAAAGCTGAAAGCACATAAGAGTATTGTAGAGCTTGGGACATCTGCACTGTTCGGTCAACACACAGGATTCCTCAAAAGGAAAACAAGTTTTGATTAGCCAGTGAGGACTTTCACAAGCTCTTCGGTGGAGTTTTCCAGCCCTGACCAGCCAACTGGTATCAACCCTTCCCTTTGGGGGATCTATATGCTGAATTTCTATAGAGTTACTGTATTTTCCATGATTGTGTGCATATCATTTATATATAACCCAAGATGTAAAAAGTATTGAATTGACTGCAGGAAAGGGATTGAATGATTTACTATGCAGTCACCAGGAAAAAGAACCTCTGGCTCATCTATATAGGAAGTTCTTTTTGACAGCCCTAAGTATTTGCGTATGCAGACAGTTTGTTCCTAGCAGGAGAGGAAATGGAAAGGGTACAAAAGAATACAAAGGTCATAGAGTCAAATGACAAAGAAGCTGGGCTTGTTATCAATATCAGCAAAATTAAATGCACGATCACATCCAGAAATAAATCTCAGGATCAGAGGAAGATAATAGGCTTGTGCAAAATTTCGCTGGCTGTTTTGTTTCCACGCTGTTTTGACCTGTTTTGAGCTCGAAGCAGCGAAATCGAAATGAAATGAAGGGCTTCGAAACAGCCTCAAAATGAAATGAGGGCAGTAAAAACTTTTTGAAAGTTTCGAAATGTTTCAGGTTTTGAAATTGAAGCTGGGCTTGCGTGCAGGGAAACAGAAAGTAAGGAGAGGGACGGGGAAGAGGGGGGAAGGACTGCTCTCATATTGACAGTGACACTTTGGCTGCCTGAGACACTGCTGGTGCTACTGTGCTGCTTACTAAGTTATTACTTGTTGTCATTTAAAGTGGTGGACTGGACTGAGGCTGTAGGGAAGGAGGAGACCTCATTGGGGCACACTACCGTGTCATGTAGAGGTCCCAGAGCCAGTGAGGATGCGCCTTAACACACACACACGTCACACGTCACGAGTTTTGCTTGTCAGCAGCTTGAGGTGCAGTTTTCTAGAAACCCCTGTACCTCTCTCCTTGAAACCCGTCAGGCTTCATGGCCTCAACAGGGACTACCATGGCTGCAGTTTTCACGCCCCCCCGTGCTTTCACACACATACATGACATGAGTTTTGCTTGTCAGCAGCTTGAGGTGCAGTTTCCCAGAAACACCTGCACGTCTCTCCTTGAAACTTGGCAGGCTTCATGCCCTGAGAAGGTGCTACCATCTCTGCTGTTTCCATCCAAATCAGGAAAGAAATGACAATGTTATAGGCAGTTTTGTGCTTCCCTGTTATAGCCTATGGGCAAAATGTCAAAACAGAGAAACAGTTTCAACAAAACGAAATGGGACAGTGCTTCAAAATGAAATGAAACTTGAAACGAAACACTGTCCCATCAAAATGGCAAAATGGAAGTTGACATGAAACAGTGCTGTTTCCCACAGCCCTAGAAAATAAGGATAGGGAACGACAACGTGGAAAAGGTAGAGAAATTTAAATATTTAGGAACCATAATCAATGGGGACAGTTAAATAACGGAAGAAATTAAGGCAAGAATTTATAGTACTAAAATTTGCCCGGGGATCCTGGATAAAATAATGGCATCAAGGAAAAATCTCAAGAAACCTTAAAATCCAGCTTTATAGTACAATTGTTTAACTTGTCCTTTTATATGGTGTGAATCCTGGACATTGACAAAGGAAAATGGAAAAAGGCTACAAGTGTTTGAAAACAATGTGGTAGGGAAATGTATCTGGTGCAATACAAGAAAACAGAATAGATGAGAACATGTAATAAAGAGCTTGTGGACTTTTACAAAATACCTGATGCCGTGAGCAAGATAAGAGCACAGAGAATGAAATGGGCAGGGCAAGAACTGCAGAGAGAAGGCATGAGAAGCAGATTTTGGACATTAAGGGGGAGGGTATTAGACCTTGGGGGCGACCAAGGCAAGGATGGAAAGATAACATACAAACTGATCTGGAAGGGATAGGCAAAGACGCAACAAGGTAGACGGGGCTTGTGCAAGACAGGGGGAAATGGAAGGCTCTAGTTAAGGTGGTCAGAGACCCTTGAGACCAGAGAGAGAGAGAGAGAGAGATAGGAGCTGTGTCTATATGCAGCTCTGATTCATCCAAACAGTTCACAGGACATTTTCCCATGAGGTAACTCCAGGATAACAGTTATCAGGAATAGCACTTTTTCAACATATCAAGATTCTGGTTTTTCATGCTGTCTCCAAGACTGCACAGGAAAGTATGTTACTATCCTCTTAATTTTATACAGTAAAAAATAATAATACATATTTATTTATACATAGGCAGCGGTGTGCTAGACATCTCTCAGTTATACAGGAAGATCAGATACTTGTTCCAAAGACTGAGCAACTTAAACACAGTCACATGTGAGACCACTGTACTATCTCCCTCAAGCACAACAGTGCTGCTGCCTTTAGAGCCTTCCTTGAGCTTGTATAGCCTTAGGATGCTTCAGGGTATAGGCATCCCCTCACATAGAGACCAAACACATTTTTTCCAGGTGTACAAGGAGACATGTCTGGTGGATGTAAACTGGGGTGCTCAACACTTGGCATACGAGCCATATTTGGTCTCTGGCACCAGGTCACCCAGCTCCTCGTTACTTTGGAGATTTGGCAGTGGGTCAGCAGTGGTACCACTCCTCTGCTGCCAAATTTCCGGACTTCTGGCTAGACCTAGGCCCAGTGCGCTAGACTGTGCCTGATTCTGGTGTGCAGGGCTGCCCAGGGGATGGCACCAAGCCCCAGAGCCCAATCCTAGTGGGTAGGAACAGCACTGTGCCCCAGGGTCCAATCTGGGTTTGTGGGGTTTGATCCTGGCATGTGGGGCTCGATCCAGCCCGTGGACTAGCCTCATGCCACTCATCTGGCCTATGGGGCCAAAAGCTTGGGCACCACTGATCCAAGCGGTACTTATCACCATAGTACCTGAGTTTCTTATTGAGTTAAACAGGTCCACAGTACAGCCTAATCAAATGTGATTTTACAGTTTTTCTCCCCTTTTCCCCCTTAATGGGAGAGAAAGTTGTAATTGTGTGTGTTTGTATATGTGCACGTGCGTATATATGTGTGCATGTATGCGCATATTACCATGCACAAAAAGATTATTAAGGCTGCAGAAGCAAACACTCAAAAGTTAGAAAATGCCAGAATTAAGATTGCCTGTGGAACCTTAGGTTGCCTTTGGCTGTATGTATTGTAATACAGTCTTTAATGAGATAATCGCATGCCTTTTTAGTGGAATGACCTGTTTCATTCAGTGCACAGAATGGACAGTGTCTAATACTTTTTAGCTTTATCACCATGTGTAGGCCCCAGCCTTATGTACTATACATTATTCACTAAATACAGAACTATTATTTCCCTACAAGCTTTTCTAGGTTGCTTATCAATAAAGCAGCTGAATAACTTACAGATGTAAATGGAGTAATCTTCATCACACCCTGAGAAGGAGGGAGATGGTATTATCTCCAGTTTACAGTTGGAAAACTGAGATATAGAAAGTTTAAAGTAAAAAAAAAAATCTGTTAATTTTCAGTGCTTCCTTTGAACTGCCTAGGATCCCATTTTCTCCTGAGTACCAAACCTTTCACAGTATTTTTCTTTTCAAAGTACTGTTTCCACTCACATGTGTTGCATCTGTGAATACTCAGTGACTCAAGTCATACACCCTAAAAATGAGGCACCCAATTAGTGACCAATTATGTGCTTTTAAGTGACTAGCAGGAGCTCTGGAGCAAAGTTCTCCAAGGCAGCAGTTAACTAACTACCTTAACCACCTTCTTATAGTACCATGTCTTGTTCTGTCCAACTTCTGCAACAAGAGTGCAAGAGGTCCTCCTTCACCATACTGTCCTCAGACATCCCTAGAGCAGGCCTATGCTGCTGACTGAATGACACAAGTGGTCCTGTGAAAAAAGTATGTAATCAGGAATCTACAGGTTGTATCACTAATATACAAATGGAAAATGAAGGTTGCACAGAGCACCTTAATTGTGTCATAGCTTAACTTCAGAGTGCTTTTTTTTGCAGCTTTAATGTTTTTTTAATACAGTTTCTATCTTTTTTTCTCTT